CACGCCATCGCACCGTGTTCATCATTCTTCTGAGGCTTGTTGGTGGTTAGTGCCTTAGCTGATTCTTTAAATAGTGCGCTGGCGCCTTTCCAATTTATGAACTTATGTTGGCGATGATGTTTGTTGTTGATTTCTCGCCTTTTTAAAGTTCTAATGAACTTTGTTTTGCTCGCCTGCCTTTTCCTCTTTCAACATTCAGCAGACAGTTCGTCAGCATTTTTCCGTTTACCAGCTGGCTTGACTTGATGGATAAAGAAGTCAGACAGTGTTTTATTTAAAAAGGAGTGCTGCCGCCGTTGTATGTGCCGCGCCGGTTATGGTTGTTGTCGCTATTGCTTTTGTCTTGTTGTTGTTGTTGCTATTGCTCAACAACTTCAGCAAGTGGAGCAGACATCTTTCGCTTTGCCTCAAGTGCTGTTGGCGGCGGCTCCGGCTCCGGCTCTGGCTCCGGCGATTGCAACGGCAGCACCCCTTTCTAAAACCGTCTACAAGGCTGTCTGGGTGAAAGCGTCACTAAGGCAGTCGATTGTAAGTAAGCCGGGCTGGGTTCTGCCTATGTGCAGGGACAGTCTGGCTGCTTGGAAACAATAAAAGTGTCAACCACCATGCATTCCACACTACCCGTACGTACGTACATATATATGTATGCCTGTATGGATGTCTTAATTACTCCTTCTGAATCACCCATTCCTCCGTAAATCTTTGGTATGTGTACACACAGCGTGTTTTTCTTTGCGTGCGCTGATGACGTCGTATGACATGTCGTGTGATACATACATATTTACGTATTCGATTTTGAACCTCTACATTCCTGGTTTGGAGTGTTTTGGAATTTAGATATACTGGCCAAGTTCAAAGACTTTGCACGCTCAATCAAAATGTCAGCCTATGCAGCTTCTGCATTTTCTTGATATGCACATTCCTCGGTGAATCATTGCCTGAGGTGATTATACAAAAAATACCGTTTTACTGCAATGTGGTGTTTTTGGGCTATGCCATTTTGTTTACGATTTGCCTACCATCATTCAAACTTTTGACATATGACACTTAAGTTAAATGCCGCAATCGCTATATTTTAACTCTTTTTTTTTTTGTTTAAGGGTAACCAAATTCTAGGATGACAGTTCAGACAATAAAGTACGCCAATAGGGAATGCGATAATATGCAACTGACGTCAGGTCCTTCTAAAACAATTAAGGGGCCATTGACTGAGGAAACGTTGAACTCAATCGCTTGCATTTTTTCGCATAGACCTTTGTAAACATTTGAGAATTTTTAAATGACAGTGCCAGTGAATGGAATTTCTCTTCTTAAAAATCGATAAGTTTTCCATCGTAAATATTATGAAAACGGCATACCCTGAAGTGCGTATTGGTATCAAAATAACCCTTAATAGCGCTTCGTTCTGACTAAATAATTTTATCTTAGTTAAGTTTGACTTTCTCCAAAAAGTACCCATGTCAGTGGTACAACTTGACTTAAAATGCTACGCTTATTATATTGTTGGGTTCATTTAGTTTATTTGCCCATAAAAGGATAAAACATTGCCAGATGTTCGTCTTGTTTGGCTTTGACTTCCCAGTGATAGTTCTCTTAATTTAAGCTCATTTCGCGGGCAGTTAAAAATTCTCATTTAAATAAAGTATAATGCGATACTAAAATCCACAGCCTTAGATGTATTATAATTCATATTCATATAAATGTATCAGTTAAGCAGCGTCCACTTTGATATCAGCCAATAATCCGATACTCATTTGCGCCACGAGTATATGCACCTGGAATGTTCTGATCCTTTTCAAAAAATATAAGTGAGTTTCAAATGAAGATCATAGCTGCTTCACGGCTGATAAAATATCTACTATTTTTTTTTGGAAGGAGCTCCATCTTTAAAAACTCATGAAAATGGTATAAACCCAGAGAGAGATTTGTGCCACGTGGGTATGCACCTGGGATGTTCAACTCCTCTTCACAAAACCAAAGTAAACATTTTTAACAGTGATTTTGTCATAATATAGATATAATTACATACATATACATATGTATATTATAAACGCGGGAAGAATTTTGCCACGAGTGTACGCACCTGGAATGTTCAGTCCCTGTCCCAAAAGTAGATTGTTTCGACGTTAAATCGAGTAAGCTTAATTTTTTAACATACAATTCAGATCAATGTAAGTTTATAAGGAAGTAAAAAATGCATGAAACAGATCAAAATACATACGATTACAAAGTAAAATGGCTCCCTGTTTTTTTTTTTTTCAAAATAAGATGTAAAGGATGCCCTGCTAGCCAATGAAAGGAAAAATTAAGCCTCGGATAAGGCCTCCTTTTCAAACGTTTGTCTAGAAAACTTTCCTTTAAACCATTCGTTATCTATATATTAATACGCTAACGAAATCCCATACAAATCTATTCCTCCTTACTGCTGCTATAAATTTAAAAATTATTTAACATAATCTATATTACTTAGTCCACCAAAAAATATTAAGAGACCTAGACGATCAACAGGTGATGATGGACATAAAAACTTCCCAAGCAAAATGAAAAATTGTGTGGGAATTGGGTGAGTTGAGCTTGACGACAATGATTGGAGGACTATCCGATGCTTAGCAGGGTTAAGTAGCCGTTACAACAATAACAAGAACAACAAAATGTCATACTGCCATAGAAGGGAAATGCTTTGCCCATAAAGACACTACAAAGCTGCCAAGGTATTGAAAGTGTGCTGAGTTCATGCCAACTACCAAGAAGGTTATTCAACATTTCTAACCAGAATGTTTTTCATGATGACAAAAAGACGATCTCCTTGTCGGAGTTATGCGTTGGGTTTGGGATCCGCTGCCTAAAAATATGTTCAGGGTTTGCAGCGAGTGGTCCCTAGTAGCGAACAGACTGCAAATATGCATTGGGACTCCAATGACCTAAGAATGCATAGAATTATGATATCTCGGCCAGAGTCTACACCGAGTAGCAGTTCATTTAAAAGACACTTTGGAGACACACCTTCACAAAATTCGGAATGAAAAAGTTCGAACATCGCGTGTAGCTCTGACAACTGATTGCTGGACATCAAGAGCCAGGCGATCGTGCATGGGACTCACAGCTCATTATTGTGGTTATTGTTAAATGAGATGAAGAATTTATTAACATTGTTACCGTTTGTTGTTGTCATTTCGCTTGTTTTGTCATTTCGACATCTTTGATTATTTCAGCCAGTTACTTTTACATTTTTCTATTTATTCTATATTGCGCATAATTTAATAAACGAATATTGTTCACCAATTGGTTAATTTTTAAGTGGATATCCTAAAATACGAATATTAAGCGGATTTTCATAAATCCGGATAGTTGCACAAACGAATATTAACCGGATATCCATACTATCCGGATTTTATCCGGTCAACGGATAACCCGGATGGATATCCGGATATTCGAATATGCGGATAGTCCCAGCCCTAATAACAACTGCAACTTATAAAATCGGGCATGGATTTATCCTACTAAAATTGAATGGGCTATAAAACTGTATACTTAAAAATTCTGCATAAGAAGTTTGAAAGTTTGGTGAAGATTTGTTGAATTTGTAGTTTTTTTTTCAAAGCTGAAATGCGCATTTATTTGCAGTTTATTATATATCACCGTGCGACCAGTAAATTTCACACACAAAAAAATGAATATATTCGCGAAGCTATGGGTAAATTATAGTGAATCTGCGTACTTAGTTGTTCTCCCTGACGTCAGAATTTTTAAAGGACTTTGATTATTTCAAAAATATGATTATTTCAAAAAATTATTTAAAAAATTCAGTGCAATGTAGGATAACAATAAGGGTATCGTATGAAAGAAAAAATTCTGCACAATTATAACACAATAAATTTTTTGATGCATAAGAACGAATGGGTATGGAAAATGTCCTTTACAAATTTTGTCCCTAAATATCCTTGAAAATTTTCATAATAATTTTTTTTTTAATTATTGTTTGAGGACTAATATACGCACGACCTCATCATCGAAATTCGTCGTGCAAACTTTATTAACTTAAAAAGATACACATTTTTAAAAGCGCATTTTCAATACCTATTCGCCCTTGTAAACCAAAAAACTTTATTGTTTTTAAATCTACAGAATTTTCTCTCTCATTTGGTACGCATATTTTTACTCTACATTACTCTGTATTGTTTAAATAATTTTTTTTTTTAATTAATCATATCTTGAAATTTCAAAGTCCTTTGGAAAAAAGCCTGACGTCAGAGTGAAAAATTAGAAGCGCAGTTTTACTATATTTGTCCCACAGTTTCGTGAGTATATCGATTCTTTCCTGTGTTTTGAAATTTTTTATTTGTTGCGCTCGAACTAGAAAGATCAAAATAGGAAATATTGAAAATAGTAGTAAACGAGCTTTTTCATCGGGAGGTCAAAGCACTATTTTTTTTTTATATATGTATGTATATCCTTGGTATCAGAGCATTAATTCACATTGCTAAATGAGAGGATAGAAAACTGATGCTTCCCAGGTACGTAAAGTAGTTTTTAATGTGTAAGGAACGCAAATAATTAAAAAAAGGTAAATAAATTTCACCAATTTGCACGAACTCACTTTTTGTATATATGTACATATGTTTTTATTAAATTTTATGTGTTGTTTTGTTTTGTAATTAACCTCGCACAAATCATCCTCTTGCATGCATTTTCTCAATGTGTTAATCCCTCCAATCGCCTTTTGAACTTTTATAAACTAAGTACTTTGTAAATGTAAAAAGCTTATTTCATGCACGCATCTCACATTCTAACGCTTTGCACGGCTCCCTAAAAGCTTTGGCAAATAATATGTCGATGAATTTTTAACTCGAAACTTGTTCTTCAAAAGTGACTGGGTCTGCTGATCATAATACATATTTATTAATTGCTCCCAAAACGCGTTCAACTTAGATTTCCTGCCTGATGAGCCCCTAAATACGTGGGTATTGGTCGCCATTATTTTTGGCGCTACGCTCTTCATTTGCTTGTCGGTTCTATTGTCGCTATGCTTTTGGCAGCGTCGCAAACGCAATAGCAATGGACGTACCTTCCCGCCGGATGATTCTGTTTGCGATCCTATTTTAAATGGCAACACTATACAGGATATTATTGAAATGACCACTTCGGGCTCCGGATCTGGTGAGTGAATGTATTCTTTTGACATATTCTTCTCTCTCTTAATCGCGTATATATTTATTTTTTCATTTTCAGCTGGTTTGCCATTACTAGTACAGCGTTCCATCGCGCGCCAAATACAACTCTGTCACGTAATTGGCAAGGGTCGATTTGGAGAAGTTTGGCGTGGTCGTTGGCGTGGCGAAAACGTGGCTGTTAAAATTTTCTCTAGCCGTGAGGAGTGTTCCTGGTTCAGGGAAGCTGAAATATATCAAACTGTGATGTTGCGTCATGAGAATATTTTGGGTTTCATTGCTGCCGACAATAAAGGTAGGAAACGATGGATATAAATTACATAAGTAAACATAAACGATGAAATAGGGAGCGTATTTGCATCAGATTAACTCCTAATAGTTGACAAATCAGCGTTAATATGTTTGGTTGCGAAATTTTGCATAACTTGCAAAAAATAAAGTCTCATCATCGTAAATAATATTCGAGCATTGATAAGATCTTCTTCTATTCAGAAAAACCTATCATAAAATTTATTTTAATTCTTTTAACACTTTGGAGCAGTTTATGGAGACTGGTGTCAGGTCTAGGCCGAAAGATTTTATCGCGCTAAAATCGTCTCGAACGATTTATAAACTTTATTTTCATTTGTGTGGAGACCAGCTCGCTCCCAGCAGCAAAAGGCAATACTAGGGAATGAAATGGTAATAGTATAAGTTACGGCCGATGTCCTACAAAATTCAAATCTCACCAAACCGCATATCTAGAATCAGATTTGTGCATAACCGACTCAATTAACAAGATCATCTAGCATATAACATTTTTATGACGAAACTTCTTCGTAGATACCTTGCCCCGCAACCTATTACTAACGCGCTTCCTTTATTCATTGGCCAAACGTTTTGCTGGGGGGGATCTTTTTATTTATAGAATGTTATTCACTTGCAATAACAACCTTCTTTCGTTCTCTTTGGCAGATAATGGCACTTGGACGCAGCTTTGGCTAGTCACTGACTACCACGAAAATGGTTCATTATTCGATTACCTCACCACACATACCGTGGATACAAAAACTATGCTCAATATGGCGCTCTCAATCGCCACCGGTTTAGCTCACCTACACATGGATATTGTGGGTACACGTGGTAAACCGGCGATTGCTCATCGTGACCTCAAATCAAAGAATATTCTCGTCAAATCCAATCTCAGCTGTGCGATAGGTGATCTGGGCTTGGCTGTACGTCATGTGGAAAAGAATGATTCCGTTGACATACCTTCAACACATCGCGTCGGCACTAAGCGTTATATGGCACCTGAGGTGCTGGACGAGAGTATGAATGCGCAGCATTTCGATTCATATAAGCGTGCCGATGTATACGCATTCGGCCTGATATTGTGGGAAATTGCTCGTCGTTGCAACATTGGCATGATTTATGATGAATATCAGTTGCCCTACTATGATGTTGTGCAACCCGATCCGAGTATTGAGGAGATGAAGAAGGTGAGTCCTTTGAACGCCACATGTATACGTAATATTAACGAAATAATTTGCAGGTGGTTTGCATCGATAAAATGCGTCCAAATATACCAAATCGCTGGCATGCTTCCGAGGTATTGCACGGCATGGCGAAAGTGATGAAGGAGTGCTGGTATCCTAATCCTGTGGCCCGTCTTACGGCGCTACGCATAAAGAAGACTCTGGCCAATATTACGGTCGAGGATAAAGTGAAGAACTGATTGTAGTTGTAGTACGCAGCCATTTTGGCTTGAACAAACGGGTGTAAAGTGAACTATTAAGTAAGGAGAAGGCTGTGGCATAGCGTCTTGCGTTCGTTGCATTTTAAGTGCTGAACAATGTGCAATGAGAGCCTTCTTTACACACCCCTTCCTTTTAATTTTCTGCTGAATTTGTATGTAGATTTACTAAGAACAAAAAAAAAAGAAGAAAATTAAGTGGAAACGGGCGGAAAAATTACCTAAAGAGAAGAACATACCTTAAAATACCTAATTAAAAATTAACATAAAGAACCGAAAAAATATGGAAAACAGAGAAATTTATAAAGCTGTTATATTGATGCAGAGCATTCTATTAACGCACTAAAAGTTGTATTTGTAATTTTAAACTATAATTTATAAAATTTGTGTAAGTAAGAACGTAAAGTAAAATGTGTATTAGGCTTAAGAGGAGAAGTGAACAACACAAACCGATTTAAACTAACTAAAAGCAGCAGCTTTAATGGCCGAAATTAAGCGGACGAAAAGTAAATATTCAAAAGTAACTTTAAGCTATGTTGCATGTGTGCAAACACAGAAAAAGGAGAAGAGTAAGAAAATGTAATGTGAAATGTGAGGATTAGTTGTGACATGTGTGATGTGGGAAGTAACTAATGTAAATATTTTGAGAATGTACACAATCTTGAGATTTTCCTATAGCATTCGCTATTGTAGATTTTAAGTTTGCGCGTAATTAGATAATTTTACTTTCTTACTTTCTTAGACTAAATTGTTTGATTTGTGAAAATGTTTAGCTTTACCTTTGTTTATGCTTTATTTCTTATTTCTTATTGCCCACCATGGCTTTTATCCAAGATTCAAGTAAAAAAATAAGTAAACGTAAGGAGAAAGTAAATATGTTCACATTTACGATTTTTTTTTCGACATTTGTATGAATATTGCGTAGCGTTGCAAGTTACTAACGCGAATTTTTCATTCAATGAAAACCTATATTAAAACAAAAAAAAAAACCGATCGTAGCCGAAATTTTCAATTTTTTAATTTTAAATATTCTGCTGAATTTACATTTTTGTTTGCTTATAGATATTGCGAAACAAATGAACATTAAGGGCCGTGGTACTGAAGATCTAAGTACAGTTATCTTCCGAATATGAAGTAACTCTACATTGTGAAAACGGCATTAGATTTTTTAAATAACAATTGTCAAATATAAAGTGTTAAATCAATTAAAAAACTGTTTATTATTTGTTTAATTTGAATAAATGAACAACTGCAAAAACTTTCCAAGAAACCTCATAACTCTTTCGATCTTTTATCCTAAATATCATTCGAAACTGCCATCGAATAAGCAATTTAACTAAGCTCATTTGCATCTCTGGTAATATCTATCTATATCTGATATGCATATACACACATGCATATTTAAATGTTCAATGCGGCAGCGGAACAAAAAGTTGGAAATTTTCTGCATTTAGTAAATTACAACGAACACGTCTAGCAGCAACTACAAAAAAGACTCTGACGAAAGACTGATACATACTTAGAAACAGTTTCAGTGAATATCGCCATAATAAATACATATGTACATTTTTAGAACAATATTTTGGTTAAAACAGTAGGCACGATATTCGTTAAGTTTTTTAAACGCTTGTCTTCTCTTTCTTTTACCAAAATTTCTTACTCGCGTTAAAGCTTTGCCATTTTTAGAAAATAATCTTAAGAGAAAAGAAAAGAACAAAATTACCTAAGTAGTAATATCTATAAAAAGACACCTTATACATACTTACATAATAATGAAAACTAAAACAAACACTCAGGAATTGCCAGTCTAAATGTATGTAAATAAATAAAATATCTCTTGTTGACAAAACTGCCGTGTTGATGTGTGCAAAAAAGCAATTAATATACCATCCTCCCTTTGGTTAATCACATATGTATATGCTGCCGAAATTAGCAGTTCTTGCTTTCTCCTTACGGTTGCACAATAAATGTAAATGCAGTGTTTTTGTTTGTTATAATTTCAAGAGAAAGGTACATAACTTTGTATGTTCTTTAAATGCAAATACCAATTTTTTAATTTGTTTAAAATATACGTAGCTCATAAAAGTGCGGAAAAAGTATGCATTTCGAAGAGGACGAATAACAAAAAACCGGATCCATCTAAAAGAAATTGGTTCCTAATACGGTTGTTGGCCGAATGAAACTGAAATTCGCTATGTTGGAGCTATTGTAACGACATAGGCATTACCTACAATTTTGTAGAAGCTGCTTCTGAAGTGGTACACCTTGGTTGGAAATAAAGCTTTAAAATTTTAGCAGCAGACACATTTCCGGACGAATTTTGGTGAATACTGGGATCGAATCGTAACATCCGTTCACGGATCGAAAACCATACAAAAGAAAATTACGTCATATGTCAATCGTATAAGCTCAATGGGATAAAGAGTACGTTCACGTATGTCATAATCCGAAAAAATGTGTTTTAACGTGACGAGTAATATGATGTCGTATGCGACGATTCGAGTCCTACTCGAGTGACAGTACTTGACAAGATTTTAATCTGCGACGGTCGGTGGCTATTTTTTGCCCCACTAATATATAATTAAAATAGGATGCACAAATTTCGAAATGAACTGAATCATAAAAGTTAAAAAATGTTTAGTGATTAAGCATCCGGCGCCATCAAAAGGGAATAATCCAGGAATTATTGCTGCCCAATTTATATTTCTTTAAAAAGTCTGTGTTACTCCAATCAGGATGTGCAAAACAATACTTGTAGTGAGATATCTTAATCTTAACATAATATTGTGCGTGCTCCTCTAGTTTCGTTTGCTTTATCGACCAACGTCCGTTCTACATTTTTAAATTTCATATAACGGATTTCTAAGCTCATCCTTTATCCTTTGATAAGCAGCTTATTCTGCACTTGCTATCAGCTTCACTTAAAAAAAAAAATATAAAAAAACAACAACAATAGCGATCTATACGCAACATGACCGACATATCCGTGTGTAAACAAAAATTCAATAGTAATAGTAACTGAAAAGAAGTTATTTCAAAGTAAAAGCAATATATTCACATAAAATAACCAATCCTATTTAAAACCATTTAGTTATTTCTTCTCATATATGTATTGTACCTATTATTTTTGCAAAACTAAAAAAATTTTGTTAACTACTATTTGAATTTTGTGCACAAATTTTAACTACATAGACTCTTTGGGTAACGAAATTCCTGATATGTATGTATGTACTTTTCGGTAAATAAAATATGGAATTTGTGGTAGCATAATTTTTGAAACGCTTATTAATCTACATACATACGTTTTCGGCTGCAAAAAGAGTAAACATAAAGCTAACTATATTGTACTAAGATGATAAAATCCTATTATATTTAGGCATGCGCTAATAATTATAAATTTAAATCCTATGCAAAAACGAACTTGTCACCTCTTTTGGAATACAAAATATGCGAAAAAAAAAACGAAACAAAAAATAACATATTTTTATTATGTAAAAAAACCATCATCCTGTTATTTTTAAGTCTGTTGTTATTAATTTGTATTTCTAAATTTAATACTATTCTAGTTTGTTAAGTTCATTTAAGCTCCCTGGAATCATTTAAGACATGTAAATAATAATTTGTAGAAAAGAACTTACGTTAAATTAATTTAATTACATAAGCTTTTGAACGTATGTTTTTGTGCTTGACTGTATGTTTGTTGTTACTACAATTACTGTATGTGTGCACTGCGTGTCCTTATTGTACTTTGTTTTACTTTTTTGTGTGTTTCTTAAAAGAAAAAGAAATAAAAAAATACAAACTAATAAGTGTTTATAAATGAATTAAATTTGTTATACTATACTCTTTTGTTAAAAATATGACTGTAACTTTTTAAGGTTTCCCTTAAACATATTTTAAATTTTTTTTTTATTTTGCAATTTTTTTACTTGTTAAATACATTGTATAATATAGCTGCGCTCTGAAATTATGTATGCACAGGGAACTTGAAGCAGCGAGCGGGACTGTCTGGGCGTCACGAAAAATGCTACTAAATCTGAGTTTTTTTACAGGCGCAATGTATCAATTCTTATATGCTGGCTTGGTTACTTGGAACTTGACGCCTTATTTTTTTCAATTGTTTTGTTTAATTACCTACGAACCATATCGTGTTTTTTTCTAGATTATTTTTTAATGTATTTCTATTTAAAGAAAAAAAAAGAAATAATATGGTTGTTAGAATTCAAACTGCTAAACTGCATTTTATTAACAACTTAATATAAGTGACTTTTTTAAGATTTCTACTATATTAATAAAGAATAATAATAAACAAATTACAAATTGCAGGCTGATGTGTTTATGCGTATACATACATATATAGAAAATACATTTTTTGAAAAGTAAAAAAAAAAAAAACTAATTAGTATTTTCGATAAAAGGAAGAACAAAACGATACGTACACATCCCGATTTCCGGCATCAAAGCATACCTGTATAAAATATAGTAATAAAAAGCAGCTAATAAAATATGAAAAAAAATACGTGCATACATATGTATTTATATACATATGTACATACAAATGTATGTATATAAAAAAGGGAAAACTAAAAATTGTATGTATGTAATTGCAAATGATTATATTGAAAATAATGATGAAAGAGTCTAATGTTAGTGTTAAGTGGCGTTTTTACTGGCACTTTAAATAAAAAAAAATTACAACAAAAATTTAAAACGTTCTTGTTAATCATTGAAATCATTGAGTCCAACAGCGCTGTTGCGAGTTATAAGTCCGTAACAATACTAAAAATATCAAAAGGTGTTACTTTGGATTCGGTAGGTACTACGTACCCACATATATGTATATGTTAATTTCGGTAGGTTTTTGGAAATCGCGATTGACGTTTGGAATGCAATTTCTTAAAAAAAAAAACAGACGATAGATTTTCTTCAAAGTTGCTACTTATCGGAGAATGTTACTAGTTCACAAAATTCTTAATTTATTTTATTTTTATTGCTAATTATTTTAAGAGTTTACGAAGGATTTTCTTTAGTAAAATTTTGTCGTATGCTACATTTGTCAACAATTTTCCCAACCACTTTGTATGACATATAAAAACACCTTTTACTCAATATCTCGGAAACTAAAGGAGTGACCCAAATAGGGACAAAGTCATTTAAAAGATCTTGATTGGTTTAGTAATTTGTACTAAATTATCAATACAATTTTAGTGAGTATCTCGAAAACTAAAGGGGATATCCAAAAACTGATAACACAATTCGAAAGATCTCGCCTGCTAAGGCTATGGCGGGTATCACAGCATGGATAACGTACTCCGCTGATATAAGGTCTCTAAAACATACAAGATGAGATCTCAGGATGATCAGAGCTTCGGAATTTTACTTTCTTGCCCAGAAAAATACACTGCATACTTCTTAAAAATCTAGTGAAGGCTTGAGCTGACTCGCTGTTAACTTCAATATCAAGCCCATTTTCCAGGCTCTTCGGTTGAGCAAGATTGGTCGTTTCCTATCTCTTCGAAATATAGGTTCTTAGCAGGTCTGGATCCCTCTTTGACAGAGACAAGGTAACTTGGCCGGTAGAGAACTTTGAACCTTTCAAACATGTAGGCGGATATGGCATATAAATATTCGGCATTAATTCAGAGATGCATTGATGTTATCATACGGAAACTTATTCTTGCAAATACATACCATATACTTGGAGGAAGGTATCCGTCTTATTTATTACTAAATTGGGCAACAGGCCTCCGACTCCCCTAAATAAGATCAATTAGTTTTAACTTCTTACATCTTAAATACCGCTGAATGACTGCTAGACCTACATATTAGTTATACCCAGAGACGCAACTCCATTACACAACACTCAGTTTGCGTACGTGTTTGGTTTGTAAGATCAAGAGAGCCGATTTTAAGGGGGTTGGTTAATGTGCCTTCCTGGACATCGAGGGCCTTTGATAATACTACCTACGCATCTATCTCAAGGGCACTGGGTCAACGAGGCAAAGATCTGCCCATTGTCGGGTTGATCGACACCAAGCTCCGTGAACGTGATATCACGTCGTCCCTAGGTCACAGATTTTGGCGGTCTCGCACCGTACCGTTTACAAGAAGGTACAAGCCGAAGCTTGGTTGGGTTACCCTTTGGAAAACAGTGCTTGAATACTCTGACGAGGTCAAATATCTTGCGGTTACCCTAGATAAGCGACTCAGTTGGAACTCCCATCTAGACAAAACTCTTACTAAAGCCATCTGAGCCACGTGGACCTCTCGAAAGACTGTTTGGTCCAACATGGGGTCTTACCTCCAAGTTGATAGAATGGATATACAGAACTATAGTCTGTCCGATTGTAACTTATGCATCCATAGTCTGGTGGCCAAAAACGCGGAAAAAACTGCCATTTCACGTTTGAATAAACTTCAAAAGAAGGCTCTGCTAACGGTGACAGGATCAATGAGAAAGTATCCAACCGTGGAATCGTTAGAGTCGTTCCTAAGTTAAACTCTACTCCATAGTTTTATTCAAGCAGCGGTGGCTTTGAGGAATTCGCAAGTGCAAAATTCTGATAGTACTCTTAAAAACAAAACCCATCATAAAGGTGTTTTGATCAAAATACCTGGTCTAAGAATCTGTGAGTTCTCCGATGTTAAGCCAAAGGAAATCTGCTTTGGCAGAAAATTGCAGGTCAAAATTCGAGACCGAGATGTGTGGTCGAATGGATTACCTGAACTAGATCTCAGATACGTACACTGGTACATAGATGGATCAAAGATTGGGGGCGGGTATCTTTGGACCTGGCCTTTCTATTGAAATAGATGCTTGATTCACGGTATTTCAGGTCGAGGCACCAGCAATCTCAATTTGTGCCCGACTGAACCCTGAGAAAGGTTTAATAGGCGCCTTTATAATAATATTTTTAGACAGCCGGGCGGTCATAAGGACCCTAACTAATTGAACGATCTTCTCCAGGGTCATCAAGGTGTGCTTTGACACTATCCAACTCATGGTAGCAAGGAACACGGTTTTACAATGCTGGGTACCAGAGCGCAGCATGATTGTAGGTAACGAGGCCACCGAACACTTGACTAGGGAAGGCTCATCGTCTGTACTTGTGGGACTGGTTGTGCACTCAGTTGGTCCTCCTCGAGGCTCATAATCGAAGCGTGGGTGAACACAGAACGCAGTAGACAAGTTTATATTAGAGAGAGGTAGGCCAGTATTTTTGGTTATCCTTTTTGCCGGAGAGCTACGATAACCTGAGAGAACAGAACTAAAGATATGCGCGTGATTGTTAAGGCGTTGTTTTTTGATTTCGCTTGCGTCGTAATTTTACAGTTTATTCGATTTTTTTTTTTTTGGCTGATTTAACCTTGGATGTATGTAAACAAAGAGGAATTACCATCCCTAAATCGAAAGGAGTGGGTCTAGTAGTAGCACCATTTCCTTCTATCAACTCACACAGAGGGGTAAATAGGCACCACTTGCATTTACTCTCATCTCCTCTTTCTAGCAAATAAAACTAGTTTGCTAGGTTTTTGGGTTTCTCAAAGCCCAGTGGGCTCCATTATTAGCTGTAATTTATTTATGTAATTAATTTTCTTCCTTACACGTACTATTTATATCTCATGTAAACATATACATATTTAAATATTTCGAAAATTTTGTTTAGTTATTTTGTTAAAATTTTAGTATGAAGTATAGAACAAAAGTTTTATTTTTTTCTTATCTCAAATGAAAACAATTCTCATATGTTCGCTCAGCAAATGCATTCTGCTAATTATTTTGCTTCGTTCAAGCCGTTTGGCTTTCTTCGGTTTTTGAATTACAGTCATAAGTACATAATTAACAATTATTACTTTACGAAGATAATTTTATGCGAAAAATATGGCATGCAATGTTCTTTTTCTAAATTTTAATACAACAATTTCAAAATGCACACTTATGTATGTAGTATGTAGGTTAGGGGGAATGACATTACGGGTTTTGAAAGAATTTACATTTATACCAAAAATTTGTATTGGTTGTTTGAAATTATTACAATTTTTTGCTGCCTTAAATTGAATTATGTTTATTCAATAATTTCCTTTTAACACATTAAGATTTAATTGATTGACTCATCGAGGGATATGCAATGTGGATTCTCCATATTTCTTTGCCAATATTTTTTTTTTTCATTCGAATTCTATTTGTTGTTTTAATCAATAATTTCTTTAAATGCGCTTAAAATACATATAGTTCCTAATAAATTTCAATTAAATTATGTTGACTTATTAGTAATGCCTCAGCCAGTACAATTTTTT